ATTTAGAGGTCCGAATAAACGGGAAAGTCGCCGTTGCTTACAAAAGCCGGACGCGTGATCTTCCCCCAGACGTATTTTGGAATGGACGTTTCGGCTGTAGAGGACCCAGTGCAGCGGCGGGCCCTGGAGACCATGATCAAAACGTACGGACAGACACCCAGGCAGCTCTTCAACGCCTCTCACCTCAGCAGGGCCGGGCCCAAGCTCTTGATGGAGGGCGAGCTGCCGGCCGCCATGGGTCTCCTCGTTCAGCTGGCCTTCAGAGAAACCCGAGAACAGGCCAAAGAAATAGTCTGCCCGGTAATCTGCCAGCCGCCTGTGCGCTCAGAGACACATAATACTTATGAAGTGATCCGCGGCTCACGTGGCAATTTCCTCTTTCCGCCTCTCTTCGCCCCCAACAGAGCCCACTGCCGTGGATCAAAGGCCTGAAGTGGGGCGAGTACGTGGGCTCGCCCTCCGCTCCGGACCCGGTGGTGTGCTTCAGTCAGCCGCACGGGGAGAGGTTCGGGTCTCTGCTGGCTCTGCCGACGCGAGCCATCTGCGGGTTGTCCCGCAAGTTCTGCCTCATGATGATTTACAGCAAGGAGCAGGGTAGGAAGCCCACCCGCACGCTTTGCACACCGTCCCGCCGACTCCAGCGGCTTAATGTTCCCTCAATGCCCCGCAGGTGTTCGGAGCATGCACAGCACGGACATCCAGTGGTCGGCCATCTTGAGCTGGGGCTACGCGGACAACATATTGAGGCTCAAGAGCAAGCAGAGTGAACCGCCCATCAACTTCATACAGTGTTCACAACTGCACCAGGTGAACACACCATTTGGAATGTTAGCCGAGCACCTGGAAGCCAAATGGGTTTACTGGGTTGCGGCACTCGCCTCGAGCATTAAGCCGCCAGGTTCCGGGTTTCCTCCGACCGACCGTCTCTCTCTCCCCTCCCAGGTGACCAGCTGCGCCTGGGTGCCTGATGGCTGCCAGCTATTCACAGGGAGCAAGTGTGGAGTCATCACCGCCTACAGCAACCGTTTCACCAGCACCACGGTGGGTTTCCATGGCGACGCCTCCCCCCCCTCTAACCTCCCGCCTCCACATCAACAACCACCCACCTCCCATTACCCCCCCTCCTCGCCCTCCCCTCTCACCCCTCTTTAGAACGCCTCACCGTGCTCAAACGCTCGGCTTCATTAGTCACATCACAGTTGCCCTTGAAACACATTTCCACTGAGCTGACAAGTGGGATTAGAGGTCCGGGAGTTCAGCCACCAGAGAGGAGCTCCGACTTCCCAACAGGCACCTAGATATCCAGTTATTTTTCTCTGTGACTAGTGTTCCAATAGCAAGTGATTCGTGCTGCTCAGAAAATCATCAATTTAGTGTTTTTAGGAAATGGTGAATGCCGAGGTAACTCACCCGTCGTTCAGGTATGCGCGTCCTCTGTCCGTGGTCGCTGATGTGTGTCTTTCCACAGCCGTCTGAGATGGAGGTGGAATCTAAGGTTCACCTATACGGACACACAGGGGAAGTCACCAGCCTGTTTGTCTGCAAACCCTACAGCATCCTCATCAGCGTCAGCCAAGACGGCACCTGCATTCTCTGGGACCTCAACAGGTCAGTCAGTGTGTGTCTGTGAGTGAAAGAGCTACAACAACAAAAAGAATAAAAAGCTTTAATGGTTCTTACTGCGTTTCTTCAGGCTCTGTTATGTCCAAAGCCTCACGGGCCACAAAAGCCCAGTGACCGCAGTGTCCGCCAGCGAGACCACGGGGGACATTGCCACGGTTTGTGACTCAGGTGAAGACCGCTCCGTCTCCTTTAGTCGGTCGTGTTGCGTTCGCAGAGCGACGCGAGGTTGACGCGTGATTCTGTGCATGCAGTGGGCGGAGGCAGCGACCTGCGCCTGTGGACGGTGAACGGCGACCTGATCGGTCACGTCCACTGCAGAGAGATCATCTGCTCGGTGGCCTTCTCCAACCAGCCGGAGGGCGTGTCCGTCAACGTCATCGCTGGCGGGCTGGAGAACGGCGTCGTCAGGTGAGCCGGTTTTACACACCTGAACAATCCCGCCGGCCTTTAAGGTTCCAGATAAATCTGCCCTCTTTCTTTCTTTGTTTTCTTTCTCAAGACAATGCATTTCTTCACAATTGTGTTATTTTCTTTACGTGTGAAATCTTTCCCAGGCTGTGGAGCACCTGGGATTTAAAACCAGTGAGAGAGATCACCTTTTCCAAGTCGAGCAAACCCATCATCAGGTACCTCATTGTTGTTGTTCTTTGCTTTTACGTGATTGATATTGTACGTGTGCTTGTGTTGGATGTGCTGATGATAATGTCCTCCTCCTGTGCCCCAGCCTGACGTACTCCTGTGACGGCCACCACCTCTACACGGCCAACAGCGAGGGCACGGTGATGGCGTGGTGTCGGCGGGACCAGCAGCGCATGAAGCTGCCCATGTTCTACTCCTTCCTGAGCAGCTACGCTGCAGGCTGACTCTGTCTGATGTTTACTACTTCACTGTTTACTTGTTGCTCAGCAAGAGAAGCCTCCTTCTCTTCCTCTTCCTCCTCCTCCTCCTCTTCTCTGCACTGACAGGGAGGAGGATGTGTCAGCATGGGTTCAATCTCCCTAACTTTTAACTAAAGCCATCCCCAGCTGAGCAAACTCTACCACAGCCGCTCCCAGCATCATGAAGTATTTATGAAAATAGTGTTATATGTATATAATTATATATTTATAAACATACTGAAGTGGAATGTTGGGGAGAATGGATGAATATTCGGCTGAGGCTGCAACAGACACTTTATATACAAAATGCATTTCTGAGGGTGCGTTTGATTTGTTGAGTCTTATATTATTTTGTTCACTGCTGTAGAGTTTTTGTTGTGCCGACCTTTTCCTGTTTTCCTGTTTCCTGGTAAGCTGCTATGATCTGGCCAAAGCCGGACCCAAAGTGTGAAGCCCCTCCCCCCCGTGTCTCTCACCTCGGCGGCGCTCGCATTTCCCGTAGAGCGTCGTCTGACAGATTGCCCCCCCCGCAGCTCGGCGAGCACATCCCAGTGGCGCTGCAGTGGCTGGGAGGGAGGGAGGGAGGGAGGGAGGGGAGAGAGAGAGAGGCCCTCCTGGCGTCTGTCACCGGGCAGTGGGCCGCTCTGTGGGAGTGAGACGCCGCTCTACTCGGCCGTCTGCTCCACTCAAGTCTGCACACAAGTGTCGCGGCCCGGCGTCCCCGAGCTGCGTTTAAACTCAGTGGAGGGACGGGGGACGGGGGGGACTTCAGGATGAGCCGTTCTGCGTGTTGCCTGTTGGCCTGTCCTCCTTTTTGCATGCTAGAAAGATGCTGACCTCGACAGTATGCCTGCGGCTGTGACTTTTACTGTCACGATGCTCCTTTACCTTGACCGGCCTTGGTTGAACCTGTCCTCTTGAGACATGTCCATGTATTTATTAGGAGCACGTCGGAGGTCCCTCTTTTCTTGTGCTTTACTGACCTAAACGGTCAAATGCACTAAAAACCTTTTCACTACTTGATATAGTTTGCTGAAATTCTGAGAAATGACCAAACCGCATTGGATGCCTGAAGCTGCAGAGGAATCTCGAGAATGTCCCGTTGCTGAGCTAAGAAAGCGTATTAGACGTGGTAGGCGGGGGGGGGCGGGGGGGTGAAGGGGGCGTCGCGTTTAGCTGGCCGAGGTCAGAACCATTAGCGTGTCCTGCACTGATGAGGTTTACAGCGTGTTTCATAATGGTATACACTACACTAATCAGTCCAGGAAACACTATTCATATTAAACTTTGCTTTCCTTAAACCCATCCGTGGGTCCACGCAGCTACTCTTTACATTCCCACTTTGCCTGTGATACCTTTAGTTTGTCTGTATAATGTTTGTGAAGTGTTAGCACTTTTTTTATCAGCTACCATTTAGTTCAACGTGACGTGTGGTCTCTACGTGAGCGGATTTTTGTTTTAATTCTTCCTATAAATCTACTCAAGAAAGCAATATCAGACACGTAGGTAATTTGCGTCATGTTTCAATATAAAGTTTGTCTTAACACGGCTGTGAAGATGTTTGGCTTTTGTTTTAACTGCAGTGCTTTCTGTGATGAAAAATGATGTCTTAAATTTCACACCTGGTGTTTGACGTGTTTACAAGAAAGGGAATATTGCTTTTTATATCATGACGTCATTCCTTTTGTGGAGTTATCGTGACTTGTTTTTTTCTCCTTTTCCGCCCACCAGGACCCTTGTGTGCAGCATCAAGCCTGTGCAGGATGTGATGTTCATGTCTGCTCACCGTGTTTCTTGCTTTCAAGTGTACATACATTTCCTCACGTGAGATTGTGTAAATGTTTCCACCCGTTTGTTGAGAAAGTGTCGGAGGCGAGAGGAAAATGCTTAAATTGGGGGGGGTTTCGTTGACAGAAGGAAATATATGTTTAAGCTTTAAATGATTTCCAAAATGTGTCATTTACTTGACCTCTTAGCTGGTTTGGCATCGTGAATGGAAGTTCTGAAAGGATGTTTTATGTTTATTTTTGTTTGTATATAAATCTGCGTGTGTGTGTGTGTGTATGTATGGACAAAGTGATGAGTATATTAGAAATATATATATATATAAATATTTGAAGAGATATGACAACATCTTGTGGTTTTGTGTCTTATTTTTGGGGTGTTTTAGAAGAATCCGAAGTCAAACTGCACACATTAAATCATAAACGTAATTTCTGATGATTTTTAATCTGGATGCAAATATCCTCCAAAAAGCCGTGTTGTTGTGGATGAGGCCCGGCAGTTGCTATGGGGGGATCCGGTGATGTAAAAACGAAATGGGGAAGTCTGCAGATCTTCGGTACCGTCTGCAACAATAAAGCAAATTAGAAAGATAATAAAACAGCAAATGCAAATCCGACCAAATGTCTTTTTGCATCGTCAAAAAAAAAAAAAAAAAAAAACCCGCATCCGGGCTCGTTGCTGCTGATGCTGCGGGTCCACTGATCGAGTGCTTCTGCCCTCCAGCCTGCATCTGATCGTCATTCAGAGGTTTCCCCCCCTGCTGCATGCGTAACATCTCCCCGAGTCCAGCCGCGGTGCTCACCAACACCTCGCCGCTCGGCTCTCATCTTCCCACACGGAATACGCACGACTCCCACGTAGCGAAACCAAACGGCACAGGATTCACCTCCGCGGGTCCAGTCCCGAGCGAAACCAGGCTGGGATTTCCTCTCATCGTTTGATATTTGACAGATCTGCTTTTTTTGTCGCGCGCGCGCGCGCCTGTGTGTGTGTGTGTGTGTGTGTGAGTGTGTGTTGGGTGGAGTCGACCCGGAATTCTCCAAATTGGAAAAACCATTGGCATATTTCAGGTAGGTCGGCGGCTGTAGAGCCTTCATTAATCTGCTTGTAGCCGATCGATGCAGCGAACCATCAACATGTTTTTTTTTATTTTAAATGTATTTTCTTCACGCAAAAATAATGTGCTCGTTTGTTTTTGTTTGTTTTTTTCCGTGATGTGTGGGTTGCCGTCTTCTGCTGTGACGAGGCCCGCAGCGCGCGCGCGGCGCGTCCGAAACGTGATCCCTTTAGAAGCGAAGAGTCGCCCCGTATTCGACAGATGTGCATCGACAATTAGCATCGTTACATTCGGACAAAACGGTGCAGACCCCCGTTAAAGGCGCCCCCCCCCCTCCCTCAGTGTGGCCGTGCCAGCGTAAGGATGGGCGACTCGAAGGGGAAACCTCAACGCAAAAAGGCCCGATAGCTTCCTACGAGGGTGTGAATAAAAGCCATGCATCGGGCTTTAGAGCCACGAAGGGTGGGATTGGAACATGAATGAAAGCCTCTGCGCCCCCCCCCCCCTTTACAAAACATCTGCCCGATGGAATCCGTTCAATACAGTTAAAATTGACTTGCGACGGATGGGAATCGAATAAAAGCGCAAATGGGTTCAAGAGAAACCCCCCACAGTGAGTGAATTGATTCAACAGCACCCCACCTCAGCCAAATGCCTCATATGTTCATGCAAATAATTACAAAGCACATCTGTGGTCGGGTGTCATCTCTCGCTGCTGTGGCTCTCATGCTGGGACGTTTCAGGAGTGAGTGGGGGTCAAGGGGCCTAACATGAGAGCAACATTGAGTCATTGGGCTGCACGTTGATCAATGCACAGATTACAACGGGGCAGATTGAATCACTGCAGTTGAATTGATGCCCACTATGGAGAAAGTTGAGAGGAGGAGGTCAAACAGTGCAGTGTTGTCCTGGGACTGATAATGCAAAGGAAATAAGTCAACACAAACCAGTAAATGTGTGCATGTAGGTGCAGTTGAGCAAATAAGAGCAATCTGACCAAATGACAAAAAAAAAAAAAAATAATGCACGAGCCCTGAATGTAAAACGAAAAATAGCTGCTGTCCAGCTGCTGCCTTTTCCGGCTCTTTCTTCAGATAAAATGGAGCTTGGCTGCTGTAAAACAGATTCCCCCTGACAAAATGGGTCCTTTAAACAAAAAGCTTGTGGCAGAGAATGGCTGCTCCAAAGGGGGGGTAGAAACACCGCCAGGGGGATCCTGCTTTGTGGATTTAATGTGATGCTCATTGACTCAACGTGTCCCCCCCCCCCCCCTTTTGTCCCTGCGTTTGGTGTCACAGGAGCACCATGAAGGACGGTATCGCAAACAACAGCACGGCCAGCATCTCCCAGGCCAGGAAAGCTGTGGAGCAGCTGAAGATGGAGGCCTGCATGGATAGGATAAAGGTACGGTTCTCTCCTTTCGCTTCCCTGCGAGCAAATATTTGCATGCGTTTGTATTTGATCAAATACCCAAACGCTCTGGCTGGTGTACGTCATTCTTAAAACTGACATTAGTCATTATACTTGGGAGCTTTGCTTATTGCCACTATGCAGAGACATGCTTTGTTAGGGTGTGTATTAATGTGATTACCGTGATAAACATCTGTGTGTATCTCTAATCCCCATTGAGTTAGACACATTGAGTGTTTGGAGCCGTACAATATCCTCCTCTTGATGAGTGACGCTCTCCGGCTCGCAGCAAACATCTCATTTTTAATCAATCTGAGGTCCGAACAAAGCACAAGAAAGGGTCTCCTTTAGAATTGGAAACGTTATCCAACGATTTGCAAACAATAAAGTGCAAGTGTTCATTCAGTCAGCCAACAGCATGGCTGATACGTTTAAATAATCAAACATCTCTGGCTGACATGTTGCTTCATCACGCGCATATTGCACACTGACCTGTGTACTAATCCTTAACTCAAATGAATCCCCTTTTTGAGACACTATTTAGTCCGGTTAAGTAACATTTGATAACAATCACAGCACCCAACTGTTTAGGCAAAGTCCCAAACTACGGCTACGGCCGAGTCGGTTTTGCTCATTTTAATTGGCTTAGACGGCCAAATGCTTCAACCTCAGCCATCATCCCCTCTGTGACAATAATACTTCCTGCCATTTTGCCATTTAAAACCTTCAGATTAAAATGTTTGACTACAGCCTGGTTTGCGAGACTCAAACAAAAAAACGCACGCCACAATCTCATGTCTATATATCTACGGCAGCAACCGCTTAGCTTAGCTTAGCACAACGACTGGAAGCAGGGGGAACCAGCTAGCATGGCATCTGAGCTCTATCAGTTCCTCAAATCTCACTAGCATGTTATATCTCAACATGTATGGTTTGGATGGAAGTAGGAATTCATTTTTTGTACAAATAAAACAAACAACATATGGAAGCATTTTTATAAATAAACTTTCGAGGGCTCGGAAGTGGAATTGTGTTCCCTTCAGTCTCATCCAGGCTTTGCTGCTCCCCCTTGTTACAGTCTTTATGCTAAGCTAAGCTAAGCTAACTGCTGCTCTCTCCAGCTCCATATTTACTCCACCAAAAAGCGAATTTCACAAAATCCTTCTACATCTACATCTCAAATGTAGAATCAGACACTGTATCTATTTGACACAAGCGTTCTAGATGGTTCCTGATACTTATGTCCGCTATTTCCCACTATTTGCCATCTCAGTGGGTTTTGACTGCATTGACCCTTCTATTGGTGGGGCTGATAGCAGTGATTATTCCCCTTATATCACCTTGTGTTCGTCCGCTCTTTAAAATAGAGCTTTTCATTTTTTTAAACCATCAAAACTGACAAAGCAGAACCACTACAATACTCATATTTTACATTCCACACATTATTCTTCCTTGTCACAGACTTGAGCCTAAATTTGAACTTGGTCATCAACAGTTTGGACGGAGATCTACGGTCTAACGTGCTCGTAGCAGCTAATGTAGCCTTAAGCCTGCAGCACAGAGCAGAGATAAGCAGCAGGCTGCAGAGGTCTGGTAAGCTCGTATTCTTTCAAAATCCACACCCCCGGCTTTATTTTCATTTCTTCATTCAACCCTGACCCAAGTGACATGACTGGAGGCAATTTATCAGACTTCACGGAGCTCTCTCTGAATCCTCAAAAAGATGAATACAACCTTTTTTTTCCCACATGGTCATGAGTCCCCATACTTTCCTCCAGCAGCGAGAAGACAACTCAATTTATGTTTCCCAGCTCAGTTTAGAGCAGCTTCTTCTGACAGTCGTCACATAAAGGATCAGTTCACCTCCCTGTCGTAGTTCCTCCACTGTGAACCGCTGTGGTATCTGTCAGGGACGAACCCAGAGGCATGCCAGGCCCCGGTGACCGTTAAACACTTCTAACATTAGTTTTCCACCCATTAATCATAATCCTGATATCCAGCTGCTCCAGCTGCTCCATCCGTTCAGTGCTCATAAAGTGCCCTTATCAATCACATCTGGTCCAGGCCATTTTGGTTGATACAGGAATGTCACAAAAGAAATATGAATAACCTGTAACCTAACCTATACATTAATAGAAAGGTTTAAATTATGCTTTTACGCTCTAAACAGTAACTTGATTTTACAGTAAAATTGCGTAAAATCACATCAATACTGCCGTTAAACCATCAAAATATGTGCTTTGATGCCCCGGCATGTTCAGTTGTATTTAAAAAAAAAAAAGAATGTTATTTATTCTTAATACTAACGCAACATTATTGTATTCATATTATTTTTAATATGCGCTAGATCATATTTATTCTTTAGTTCGACAAAACATCCAGCAGCCATATTGGAGATCCACCTCCACCTCTTGTGGCTGCAACGTTCAGCTGTTTCAGCAGAATGGAAATGATTAGTGTCGATAACGGTTAACAGTGTAAGTTGCTGATTTCACTGCTGCATGCGATTCTTCTCAGGCCAACTTGACACATTGAAAACACAGCAAAGTGTTTGCGTTTAGACCAGGACGGATGCTACGTAATATCATCCCGTAACAGGGGAAGAAATGATCACTGTGGCCCTCTACATGGAAGTCAGAGTCAATGTGGTGAATCGAGTTCCAGCAGTATCAACAAAATGACTGCAAAGTAAAACCGTAATGTGATTACATTAAAAGCAAATCTAATAACAACTACCACACTTTATTGACTCAATTTTGAGATGTTCGGCTTGAGCTGACTCTGCTATTTCCAGAGGAGCTGTTCACATTTGACTCTTGTTTGGGTAACTGGCTTGGCATAGATGCTCTTTTTTTATAGCATCAGACGGTTTTAATGCTGATTTATTTTTGTCAGACGTTCTACATCTACACGTTATGTTCAGACATCGAGCCGGTTCAATTAGTGGCGACAGCCATCATCAAAACTGAATATCAAAGGACATCAATCAGTTATCTTTTATGCCGCTTATCCTTAGAGGGTCGCGGGGGGGCTTCAGTCGGTCCCAGGCAACCTCGGGGGAGGGACGGGGGTAAATCCTGCATGTCTTTGGAGTGCGGGAGGAAGCCGGAGTACCCGGAGAGAACCCACACAGGCACGGGGGGGGTGGGGGGACGTGCAGACTCCACCCAGGAAGGTGGTGTGCGGGTTAAACGACAGCGCCTAAAAATGTGTGCGAGGCAAACGAACTTTATATCTTTATACTGCTGCTGAAAATGAAGTGTAAAGTTGTGCTCTGCTACATGAGTTAAGAAGTGTTCAGATTACATTCGGTCTGAAATGGTTTGACTTTCAGTTTTATTGTCACCGTAGCATTTAGTAGAACAAGACACAGCAGACTTGAATTTAAATGAATCTTAAATGTCAGATCTGATTTTTAAGGCTTTCACTCAGCTCCATTGTGGGTCTGACAAATATCTAAGATGTCTAAATAATTTACTTCAACTTGGGTCACCTTTGCTCTTACTTGAAAACCCTTTTAGCAAGATTAACCACAACTTCAATTTCTAAGAACAAACAAAACAAAGTGACAAACAACCTTTTCCCTTTGCTTGAGAAGGACGTTTGTGTTTATTTAATGAGTTTGTTTAATCTGACCAGAACGTTGTTTCTGCGCTCACATTTCTTCTCTCAGATGATGACAGCAGAACACATCAGGCCTCAGGCAGTTACAAATACATATTATATATGGTATTTAAATGGGAGGGTTGGTGCGTCCATCCAAAAAACGATTTTAGCTTGATCAGCAGGATATCACAGCAGCATCGCAGCTTTTGGATGATTGAAAGGCGGCTTCAATCATCCAAATTGAAGCCGCCTTTCAATCGGCTGTTTGTGCTTTAACAACCACTTGGCACATCAAATGTGCAGATCCAAGTCACTCCTCTCAACTGCCTCCAAAAAGAAGAACGTGGCTGCAAAATGAAAGCAGAGAAAATCACCAAGAAAGACGAGGAAGCAGAGACGTGGCCACGTTTGTCCGTCCCTTAAATCCCTTAAATTGAATTAAGGGATGTGATGAAGGAGAGAGTGTATCAGTGACAAGAGGAGTCTCTGTGCTGCTGATTGAGGGATCACTACATTCTCATTAATTGCTCAATCAGCTAAGGGAATGTGATCTGTGCTAATTAGAAGGACTCTCCTTCCATCACAGGGCTGCAGTGTAATTACAGTCAGTCCGGGCCGAATGACACACTGTGCATCGCCACGTTTTCTCCTGCGGGGATTCTGTTCTCTGCAGAAACTCTGCCTGCAATTACATGATGGTATAACTATTGAATTATTTTCGATTATAAGAGTAATAAAGCTGTTTAGTGGCATCGCAAGAGCCAGCTTTGGTAATGTTCTCACTTTTTGCAGACTCCCTTTAATTCATGAAATATGTCCAATTTGATTTAAAAATGCAGTGGACCCTAAATCGTGCTACAAAGTTCCTGGTACAGTTTGACATTCTGAATAGATGCCAAACTTATGTTACCCCTTAAAATGTAGTATACTTCAGTCACTATAGTGACTTTGAAGAGTTTCTAGTATCTATTTGTTCTTAAACGTGTCTCACAAGGTAAAAAGACAAACATCAAATTCCACAAAGAGATCAAAACTAGCAATTGCTGTAATTGGATTTCATGTGCAGCAAAAGCCGTCATTCTTGCAATTTCTGAGAAAAAAAGAGCCACGTGACATTCATTCAGAATTGGGACTTCTCTCAAAGTTTAGCAACAAAAACATGTTGACAGAGAACAAAGCGTTGCGGACCAGCGGGAACTTCAGCCGCACGATTCCACACCGGGACTCCACGCTTCATTCACCTCGCAAAACGTATCTACAAAAGGTTTACTTTCAACCATTAAAGAAAATTGCAAGAGAAAAATAAACGGCCCTGCAACAATAGAGACCAACTTTTCAAAATGCCTTTCCCAAAATACGATATTTAATCCGTGGTTGTGTCTCTCAATAGAAGGCAATGCTGGTCAATAGTTGTTTGTGCGACTCTTCAACAAGGTTTTGATGTTTTTAGATGTTTTTAGTCCGGGGATGAATCCTGAGAACTTTGGGGATCCCTGAAAATGTATTTTTGTGCAAACATCGGGCCACAGTTTCATCTAATCCAATACAACGATTCAATGATCATTCATAATAGTCATTCTGCAGCAAAGATTTTCATGCTAGCAAGAAAATAATGACACAACCAAAACAGCTGCGCTTTACCAGTGAGCGATTTTTTGTTTGAGCAGCAAGCACCATTAATACAAACACAGAGTCTTCCACCTCCCGTCCCGTTGCTGTGTTTGCCTGTATTCATGTTCCATCCATCTTCAAGCAGCTCCATGTCCCAGCTGAGGACGCTTGGCTCCCAATCCCGTCCATCCCCCCTCTCCTCCGGGGACAGTCGACTCCACTTTCCGTGGCGTCTGGTCCACCGAGTCCAGAGGGGTTGGAGGATGATGATGATGATGATGATGATCATTGGTCTGCTGCAGCTTATTCAACCCCTAAGCTTTCTTCTCTGATGTTGAATCAGAGAGCAAAACCAACAAATTAAAACAATTACTAAATACTTGAAAAATACTCAGACTAAATACTCGGAACGGATAGCATCCCCATCAGCCTACGTATTTCTTTTATTTGTAATTTAACACTTATCTCGATAGTATGAAACGTCCTGTGAGTAAAACAGCCCCAACGTTGTGTCCCGTTGATTATTTGCGGAAAATGTTCTGCCTTCATTAGACAACAACAGTCGCAAAAGATGCAGCAAAGGTCCCCACCCAGACTTTTAAGCCGCAGGATGAAAATGTTCTGGTATAACATACTAATGTTCTGGTGTGTTGGAGATGAGTGTGACTAGTTTACGTCTGAATTGTTCCAAAAGCATCCCAAACATCCATCAAGATTCGGGTAAAGAGACGGACTCGTGTGAAGGAAGACATTTATGTGATCCTACCATCTTCCATTGATACAACCCGCATCATGTAATAGTCAGAGAGACATCTCATCCCCTCTGCGTGTCCTTTCCCTTCGTCTCCACATCTCAGGTCTCCAAAGCGGCTGCCGACCTGATGGCGTACTGCGACGCCCACATACGCGACGACCCCCTCATCATGCCCGTCCCCGCCTCCGAGAACCCCTTCCGGGAGAAGAAGTTCTTCTGCAGCATCCTCTGATGAGCTGCCCGCTCGTGCTGTATGGGTGCAGGCATGGCGCTGCCTGTCTTCTCCGTCTTCACCACACCTGAAGCTACCGGCCGTTGGCGTTGAGTTGAGGTTTGCCAGGTGGACACTCTGTTGTTGGTCAGCTCTGTCCTGGTGGCTGAAGGTTTTGGGGGAGTCAACCACCAAACTGGCAACCCAATGAGCGTACCATGTCTTGTTAAATAGGTTTGTTATTGCTTTGTTATTAGAGAACAGCCTTGCTCAGTGCTTAATGAGATGAGAGATGTTTTTTTCTTTTTTCTTTTATTGTGCTAGATCTTAACATGCCTCAGGAAACAGAAATTTGCCCAGTGTCTACAACTTCTTAAAAATATCTATTTCCCTTCCCTCCACCCGGATAAAAGAAGCATTCATCTTTGTATTATCTTCACCCTATCTTGAGTTAGTTTTCCCTGCTATCAGAGCACAGTTTGGACTATTTGTAGCAGAAGATGACTGAAAGCCCCCCTAAAATGTGACGCTTTCCTCACCAGTGGTTTCTCTTTCAATTTGCCTCCACAGTCACAAACCATTATCCTGGATGTTTTAGAGCTGCAGTACAGTCAGGTTCCGAAGGGAAACCTTTTCTCAAACGGCAAATGATTTATTTGTTCCAACTGCCCTGGTAATCCAGAGGTGGCTGCACATCAGTTCTGCTGCGAATAAATAAATAGACCATGTGTTTATCGAAAAGGTGCGGAGCCGATGTTTTCGAACAGCGCGACGAGTTCCTCGGAGTCATCAGTGTGAAAACAACAACATCAGGTCAAGAATTATTTATGAATCTGCCGCCTCCTTCTCAGGCCCCCGTCTAATGCGTTCTACCCTTGCAGCTCCTTTTGATTTACTCGTCACATATTTAATCTCCTTTAAATCAGAGACGGTGTCATGTGAGTTCTGGGCATGTTTCCTGAGCCGGATTCTTTTTTGCCTGTCCCAGAGTGAATGGCAAGGCCTCTGACATTAATGCCAAACCAGAGGCCGGCATGTTCCTCCGCTCCTCTTTGACAGCCTCCTCTGTTTCCGAGGGCCTGTCAGTCTTTTAGAGTGTACAGTATGTTACAGTGCCAATTTCTGCGAGAGCGGCGTGATCTCCGCACAATGCTCTCACAGCCTTTTTTTCTGTTTTGTTTGTTTTTTGGAAGAAAAAGCACACTGTCGAAAACATTTCCTTTAAATGGTAGTTGAATAGCATTTGCTAATTTTTACGATGAATTGTTATGATCGTTATTAATATTGTAATTATCAGTAGTATTATTGAATATTTGTTGCACCGCACTGACAGCTACATGACGTGTAGTGCTACTAAGCCTGTATGATACTTAGGAGAAAAAAACATTTATAAATCATGCAATTATTGATACTATCTGACTATTTTTTAAGAATAACAGTAAGGGTCGGTTTACATAATATAATATGATCCCTTCGGTGGTTGAGGCTTTTTGCATCATTGTTTCTGTAAACGGTACTTCATCGCATTAGGAATCAAAACTGTATTGGACTCAAATTGTTTTCAGGATAATTATTGTCTTTATATCCAAAATCCACCTGAGACTGACCTCAGGGTGCTCCCACTGACCTCATCTTAAGGATAGTGCCAAATCTGAAACAAGACATATAACGGTTAGAGATGAATATTGCATGGATTTATTTCTATCTTTAGCAGAGAGAACTATTATGATATGAAATATTGCCTCTTCGTTGACTTTCTGGGTGCTACTCTGCACATAATAATCTCCTTGGGGTACGGATATGTCGACGATGTGCAGCTGTATTCATGAATGGTATTATCATTTTGAGAAAATAAAATAGCATTTAAATAGCAGGCTTTGAAATCCTTTGATGGATGAAATGAATTAAAGGAAAAAGGAAACCCCAATGTGCTGTGTCTTCAATACTTGTGCCTCGTGTCTCTCACTGACGTTTGGAGCTACCGCCTGTCTGATAGCTCTGGTAACATAAAAGGGTCTCGCAGATGAACACGATACTGTGGCGTGTGGTGGAGACCTCCTGTGGCTGAGCCGAACCATAGGCCATCTGGATGCACTGTTCATGCGCCGTGACATTTCTTTTTTTTTTTTTTTTTTTAGAGGACCATGATTCAATTCAGCCTCAGCTTGTCTTTTACACTGCAGATAGAGGGGAAAAAAAGCCTCTTCCGACACCGCAGGGCGCATGAAGATTATCCATTATAAGGATTCAGGGTATCTGCCGCCGAATCACTTTGATGTTCCCATCATGCATGCATTTACAGCCTTGCTTTTGCCCAGGTTTGGTCGATGGTTACTGGTTACTCTTTGACTGCATTTTAAGTCAGGTTTCCCCGATTGATCATCCAACTCCAAAGGACCAAGATGTATGAGAGAAACGGTGGTGTGGAATTTAATCTACATATCTATCACGTTAAAGGCCCCTAAAAATGTTTTTCCGCTTTGTATTGTGATTGAGTGTGTTCTACATGAACAGCATTGCGTTATAAAATTAGGAGGTTTCTTTTTTTTTTCCACATGAGTGATTTTTTTTCTGAGCTGTTTTCACAGAACTCCAAAGCACCAATTTTTAACAACATATGAATAAGAACACGATCAACAATATAGAGTCGTTTGGTCTGTCAATACAATCTTTACTCAATTAATTTCATTTTCCTAACTTTGAGTTAAAATGTTGGTCATTTAGCCATGGCCAATTGAAATGATAGAAAATACAGTAAGTAAATTCTCAAAATCATATGCCAGAGAGCTTTAGATCCTCTTTCATTGGATGTAGTTTTGTATGCACAGTTTGTAGATGGGAACTTAGATAAAAATAAATCTATACAGAGCCACCAAAAGTTCTGTGGGTGTTGTTATTGCTGCAAAGGGAAAAAGAAGAAATGAATTGGAATAATATGAATAGAAAATAGGGTAAATAAGGGTTGGATATCTGCAGCAGAGGTACTTTGTATGTCAGGAATCCCTGAATACGAGAATAGTGTTTTTCTTTCAAATGAATAATATGTTGCAGAGAGAAATAAATCACTGTAATGAGTATGAATATGACTCAAAAAAGCATTATATAATGCACAGGAAAGTAATTATCCCCCCAGGGCAGTAGATCCAATACAATTTTCCAAATTGAGTAGTGAGCTTCCCAAAAGTTTATGCAAAATACACCAGAATGGTTATACATTGTGATAAGATTATTTAGATTCATTTCTAAATAGCGTACAGCATGCCAGGGGCTACATATATTCTAACAATGCACGAATGTATGCAACATTGGAACTCCTGGAAGCCGGCACTCTTTCGATGGCGTGGCCCCCTCTTCCTCTCCAGGAGAGACACTGGTGCTGTCAAAGTCAGAAGAAATCCTCCTCAAACTCGCTTCCCCATGCACGATAGATTCCATCTAAATGATTCATGCGGAGCACAGAGTAAAAGATTTAAGTACATGTGTTCTTCTTTCAAAGCTGGAAAATGTCAACTGGGCTTTTGAGGGTTAAAATGATTATGTTTATGTCCATGTTCTACTCTGGTTGGAAGGGTTTTCACAATGAATTGTTACTTAATTAACATTAATTGACAGAAAAACAATTTCATTATGTGATAAACATGGTAAGATGTGCCAGAGAGATACTGTTTGCGGCTCAAATTAATGTTTTAATGTATTTACCTGCAGTTTGAGTAAAAAGTTAAACCGTGTGTCATGCACTATTTCTTTACGGAGAACCTAAACTATTATAAACAGAGTAAATTATATTTATCCTCACCAATTTAAATATTCACATTTTGTTTTCCCCGACTACGAAACTGTTGCGATTGGCCGGAGACCGTCGAACGCCATCTCCCAGAGCGCACCGCGGCAGCACTCCGGGCTCTCCCATTGGTCGCCTCGTCCTAGTGGCGGAGGCAGACGCGAGGTAGTGGTGAGAGCCCGGCGGAGCGCTGCGGAGCTGAAATGAAGCGCGCACGCACGTCGGCGGCTCACACCGCGCAGCGCCGTGCGGCTCAGGAAGAGGCTCCGCGCCGCCGAAGCTGAAGGCTGCTCCCGCCGAATGAAAGGGCTCCGTCCATGCGGAGGCTCGCGCTCACCTTGCTGCCCTGCGCCGTCGCCGTCCTGCTGCACTTGTGGTTGGCGGAGCGACCCTCCCACGCGCCGCCGGACGACAACACACACTCGGGTACTTTCAACCGAAATGCCGCGCAACTTTTTTCCGTTCCTTTTTAACGTCGGAACCGAGCGGCGGGATAACTTTGGTGTCTGCTGTGTGTTGTTAAGTGTGCGTGGGGAGAGGCTGGAGCGAGTGAGCGAGTGTTTTGGGGGAGAAGTGACGTGAAGGAGACAGTTCGGAGGGGCTGGGCGTCGATGGGACGGTCTAACGCCTGGAAACGAAGCGTTTTCCGTCCCGGTTTGCTGCTCGCAGGGATCAGTGGGACCTTCAGAGGGAAATAGTTTAACCACCTTTGGATGCACGAGGACACTTGTCACGATGTCAATTCTAGGATGCAACTAAATACAAGAGAAAGCTGCAGCCAGAATCCTGATTTTGGGAGAATATGTCAAGCGTCCCACATCGTGTGATTTAGATTTTTCTATGTATTTGTCTGATTGTTGCCTCCTCGTTATTTCCAGATGCGTGACATACTTTACCCTCACCCACATCACGACCTGTCACGTCTTACCATTCCAACGTGTTCTGGTGGGGTTTCTGTGTCCGATGCAGATGAATCGGTGCCTTCCTATGAAGTTCTGGTGGGGGTGCTGTCAGCGAGACATCATTATGACCTGAGACGAGCCATAAGGAAGACCTGGCTCGGCTACCTGCGAGATCACCCTCACTTCAAGCACAGGTCCGTAAGCTTGCAGCTCCAACTTCTGCTCTTGTTCCTCTCTCCTTCCCTCCAAGGACGGATTCTGAAAGATTAAATAAAGACCGCAACAAATAACCGACTGCCCCATCAACCTTTTTTTCTTTATCTTTACCCGACCCGCGGCCAAAATCGTTCTCTTTCATTCTTCCCTTTTTGCCCTTTCCCTTCTCATTCAGCGATCTGAGCAAAGATAAGGTGCGATGGCCTTTAAGCAACTCTCTGTAACCATGGCAACGGAGGGTGGATTAGATGGACAAGCTTTAGAAATCGTACGGCGTAATACGGCGCACAAAAGAGAGGGAGAATGCAGTAGTGTTTGTGCTTGTTTGCAGAGTGGCGGTGAAGTTCATCGTGGGGAAACATGGGTGTCCCATTCCAGAGGAGGACAGAGAGGACCCCTACTCCTGCTCCCTCCTGAACCTCACGCAGACAGGTGATATGATGATGATGATGATGATAATAATTATGTTCATATACATCAGCTCACATATAAGGGGCCAGCTGCAGTATGGAAAGACTGTGCGATCTCTCGCTGGGCTGTGCAGTCGTCAATAGCGGCGCGGAGGCAGAATAACGAGAGACGAGTTGAAAGAATCAAAGAATGCATGTTCAGAAAATGACTAAAACACCGTTTTCATGTTCAGTCACAGCTCAAGGACACCATTCTTTTCCTCTCCACAACCAAGGCCAAAGCCGACGTTTCACCCGGCCGCTAACACAACCGTGTATTAACGCTCGTGAAGGGAAAACCATACGAAGCAGCGACGCACCCTATAGGAAATAATTGAACGGGCTCGCTGTCAGAAGGAAAAGCCTCAGTAATTGTTATGTCTCTCCTCGTCACGGAGCCAGTTCAAAGCACCAATTCACTACTTTTGCCGTTGGGTTCATTGTTAGCCGCCTTCACGGAAACACAATTACTGCTCATCAGAATAGACTTTTTTCAGACGGTAGCCTTTAGTGTCGCGGTGACGTTTCTGTTTCATTTTACCGGCCGATTCTTAATAGTTGTAAGTGTTGACGTGAGTTGCTTCAGAATAGCAGGAACGCAGGCGGCTTTGCAGCAAGATGCTCGTCGTGAGTGGAAGGGGAAGTGACAACGGGCGCTTTTAAGCACCGCTGGGTACCTGACTCTGGATGTAGGTCAAAGCACACGTACAGCGGACAAGTTATTGTGGTTGAAATATTTTTGTGCGGCCTTCGTCCAGGGGATTTATCTCTCAGACTGCTTTAAAAATGAAGACTTTGTGTTAATAATTGTTTTGTTTGTTTGTTTTGGTATTTGAGAGTCAAAATGTTAATTATTTTGAGACTGAAATGGTATTTCAACGCATATTAAACAGTCTGATTAATTGTTTCAGCTCTAGTCAAAAAAATTTCAACTAATCAATTAACATATCATCAAACAATTTTGATGATATGTTAATTGATTAGTTGAAATTGTTTTTAATGTTGCAAAAGGTTCCCCACAAATATGAATATTAACTGTCTTTCTTAGTAAATGAAATACATTCGTGTTCCGTTATTTGGTTTCCAGAAGAGGGCCGACTTTGTTGTGTGAGCGCAGTGGAATTAAGAACGAGGTTCCCTTTTTGTGTTTTACTGTCCTGTCCAGCAGGACAACAGGGACGCACTTCGCAGTAAAGTGACCTCTGTTGTTGTTGATTTGTTTTGGCTTTGGAGGACTGTGAAAAACGTTAGCGGCAACTTTTTTTGCAGTAGTTTAGGAGAGCAGGCAGAGTTTTGTAACGGCAAAAGGGGTAAATTAACTGGAATTTTTGTAATGAAATGTTTGACCACGTCAAATATAATTTGGGCGTCGTGTAAACGTAAGGGAGTTGTGTACCTGGTGTGCATGACACCGACAGGAACAAAAAAAAACAACTATCAGTCAATCACAAGTAATTCGGAAGAGTCTTTTTTCCATTTGATCCACATTTTAGAATTTCCTTACATTTTATTAACCAAATGTTAATGAAATTAATTTAATTAATACCTTTGACCGATGAAGCCCTTGTTGTGGCTTCGGGTTAGACCATGTTGAATATTGAATAAAATGTAGGAGTATCTTAGTCTTGGGTAATCTCAAGGTCCTGGAGTGGCCTGGCCCGTCTCCAGACCTCAAACCAATAGAAAATCTTTGGAGGGAACTGAAAGTCTGTGTTGCCCAGCGACCGCCCCGAAACCTGAAGGATCTGGAGAGGGTCTGTACGGAGGAGTCGGCCAAGATCCCTGCTGCAGCGTGCAGACCCAGTCAAGAAGTACAGGAAACGTATGATGTCTGTAATTGCGAACAAAGGTTTCCCTACAAAATATTAAGTTTGGCTTTTCTGATGTATCAACTATTTATGTCACGCAATCAACTGCAAAATATATATATTTTTAAATCATACGATGTGATTTTCACTGTTGAAGACCAATGATAAACATGACAGACTCCTACATGCTCAGTAAGTGGGAAAACCTGCAAAACCGGCAGTGTATCAAAATATGTTCTCCCCATTGTATGTATGCGTCCCCTCACAGTAAAATCCTGGAGCTCGATTCCACTCAGTGGAAGGTGAGAAACATGTTGTTTGATAAAGTGCTGCTTTCGCTCCGTCTGTCTCCCTCTAACTGTCTTCACTTTTGAAGTGAGCCGCAGAACTTGTGTAGAATGCATATAAAGTAAAAAGCCTGCTTCCCTTTTACAGCCTTGATCTTTTCATCGATCGCCTGGGTAATAAACTGCTCTTTTGTAATTAAGAAACCACACACACACACGAGCCAAAGCTCGCTTTGAAGACGGCAGTCCCAGGAACCGGTCTTTCTCAAAGTGCTGATGGTGTAGATTCTTCTCCGAGCGGCCGCCATCCACTCGACTCGCCCGGCCCTCGTTGCCCGACGAGAGGTGGCCAGCGCGATGGGATGGTGATGAATGAGACGCGTGCCTGCGCAGTAACCTCTGCCCTCCCCCCGTGCCAGTGTCAGGACGGCATGCGGAGATCGAGATCGTGAGGGTGCCCGACCCCTCGCTGCTCGCCCCCTCTGACGTGTCGGCCGTCGCCTTGGATTTCAAGGTCCTCCACCCGGTGGTGATCACCCGGCTCGGGGTGTTCCACAGCGGGGCCCGGCCGGAGCTCCAGAGCAATGTGACGGTGAAGCTCCTCCAGCTGGACCAGGAGGTAAAGGAACCTCCACCTCTGAGCAGGGGAAGGGTTGTATGTCGGGTTCCTGTGGAGGCTGGTAGACCCTCGGTCTGCGTAGCATTCACAGTGGCTCATGCTACATTTTCCATTCCTGAACTACTACTTTTTTTTTTTTTGCAGGAGGCGGTGGTGACTGCTCGCTTCAGTGCCATCAGCACGGGGACCATGGAGAGCGGCCTGTGGTACAAACCGGTGGAGCAGTTCATCTTGCCCAAGGTCAGTTTCTGATGTCCTGCCGACGTCCCTGAGATGACGAGTTAAATCCCACCCGAACAGACCCACCGTCTCCCAGAGGCTCAACGTGTTTAAGTTATCAGGATGTTTCACGTTAGAACTCTTGGAATAATTATTTTGCCAGTTACATTAAAAAAAAGCCGTTCCTTCAAAGCGAATTCCTCTGATAAACATGAGCTGAACGCATCTTATCTAAACTGTATCTAAAATAACTCAAGAATCTCAGGATCTTTCCTCGACTTGGTAAACAACAATACGTAAGAACCATCCCAGGAAATAACATCATTATTTCACAACAGAAAACTGATTTCTGATCGTTATTTCTATCCTTCTCCACGACGCCGTCCCAGTGGAACTCAACACAGGTTTAAATGTGGTGTTTTGCTGCCGTCTCTGGTTGAAAGTATCAGGCTTATTTTACCTCTGATCACATCCGTTATGCGAAACGTTGCTTTGGCGCCGCGCCCCTCCAGTGTTTCCCCAACCCTTAAAGCAGGGGAAACCCTGGAGGATGTGAGCTCCGTGTCCTCCATAGTAGCTGCGCTGCTCAGTTTAAATAGTGCTTGACAGAACAACGCCCTGCAAAGACTTAAATGTCCCTTTTGTTTCAGGGCTTTGAGGGAACGCTGGTTTGGGAGAATATGGCCTCTGCTGGATTGACAACGGTCAACTCGTCTGTGCAGCTCAACGATGGAGGAGGTGTCCTCAAGATCTCATCTGTACGCAGCAACAGGAAATTATTAATAAATGTATTAAGAATATTCCCTCAAGTTTTAATGTCACAGATACATTCATTTTGTTTTGTTGCTTTCTTGTTGAATTGCAGATTGCAGAGGGCTTACTGCCTCATAGAAGTGCACTTGGGTTTCCCGGATTGGCTGGAGGCTTCACATTTACCATCTATGGTTGGTCCTGCAACGGGATTTAAGTTGGAGCTTCTCATGAAAACCATGTGATTAAAATCAAATGAGCCAACTGTCGTCAAAATTGTTGAACATTGTTGTCTCTTGCAGGTCATAATATTGGCTCAATTTTTGCCTCAGGACTATTGAATACTTTCTAAATCACATTTATTTTCCCCTCCCTGTCCGGTTGTGTTGAATTATTGATGTAGCTGCATGTGTTTGCTATCTGGAAATGGATTTTTAGCCATTTTGAGGAAAACAAAATTAAGTTCACCATCCTCTGAAAACCGAATTAAAGATTATTTTTGATTTGTTTGCAAGTGATTTAAGTCATTATCCTTTAAATGTGCCTTAATATGTTAAAAAAAAGTTTTTGTCTTTTAAAAAAAAAAAAAACATTTTGGGTTGTAAACTCTTTCCCCAATCTCCCCCGTTTCCTGTCCCCGTGTCGTCCCTCGACCACCCTGCGTCAGATGAAGACGGCCTGTCGGGGCTCCTGCGGGGCCGCCCGGCCAGGATGGAGCGCCACGCCTCCGGCCTGAGGCAGGAGGACGCCGCCCTGCAGCAGGAGAGCCTGCGGCACGGCGACATGGTGTTGGTGGACGTGGTCGACACCTACAGGAGCGTGCCTTCCAAACTGCTTCAGTTCTATAAATGGTACGCCGAGTGCTAATGACTCCATTCTCTGTCTCCAAATTGCCCGGGCCCTCTGAGGAAATCAGCGACCCGAAATGGAAGTGTGTCGTCGCCTCAAAATGTCTCGCCGTTACAATCACGATTGCATTCACTCAGTTGGAAAAGTACAGTGGCGAGTCATCAGTCAGCCGCGTGGACGGTCGTCTCAAGCGCTTGCCGTGTATTTTAGTCATTTGCGAGACCTGCCGCCCTTCAGTCTCCGTGGTGTTTAAAAGTAAATCCGCTGTGGGATATTGCCAAAAATCAGAAGGTGGCCTTTAATTACGGTTTCAAATTCCCTCTCCGGCAGGTCTGTGAGAAACGCTGACTTCAATCTGCTGCTGAAGACGGATGATGATTGTTACATCGACGTGGACTCTGTGTTAACGAAGATTGACCAGAAGGGTCTCAAGCGCAGCAATTTCTGGTGGGGGAAGTGAGTACAAACCGATCCCGTTGACGTCGCATTCACTTTGCCAGCGTTTTCCGACTTTTGTCGGCTGAACTCAAGTTGAGAGAATGCGCTGCGATGATGACGGAGGCCGCATGCGATGATGACGCGTCTTACCATCCTGACCCAGTTTCCGACAGAGCTGGGCAGTGGACCGCATTGGGAAGTGGCAGGAGCTGGAGTACGCCAGTCCCGCCTACCCGGCGTTCGCCTGCGGCTCCGGCTACGTGGTCTCTCGTGACCTGGTCCAGTGGCTCGCCAGCAACGCGGACGAACTGAAGGCCTACCAGGTAGAGTGACCCGGGAGCAGGAGCCCGTGGGGGGGGGCATGGCGGATAGTCGAGAATATGATGGGACGACTCTGTCCTGCGTGTGTTGTTTTCCAGGGAGAAGACGTGAGCATGGGGATATGGATGGCTGCTGTCGGACCACAGAAATATCAGGTAATTGTTAACAATCTAACCTGAGAAGACCGTCAGTGTGAGTCTGCTAAACAAATCAGCTCTCGTCCTGCCCCCCCCCCCTGCTGTTGCCCAGGACCCCGGCTGGCTGTGTGAGAAAGAGTGCTACGTGGACATGCTGTCGTCCCCCCAGCACACCGCCGAGGAGCTGCACGTCCTCTGGGACAGGAAGAGGGCCTGCGGAGACCCCTGTGGGTGTCCCTGGGGACACTGAGTTTGGGTCCGATTCGCCGCGCGGCGCTGTGGGTAAAATGCGCTCTGTGGTCTCCTTGCAAGCCCAAACTGAGAACAATTTTATGATAAAACAATTGGAGGAATGTGGGGAAAATAACATTTTAGGTTTAATATTCACAAAGTAGTATTGAATACCAACATGAAAACATTTGCAGCTTTAGATTTCATTACTTGCTTGTAACCGTAGCGTCGTGTCAGCATTTGTTTCATGAAGTTCTTATATTTGAGATTCAAAATGTCTTCAATGGAACAGAGAAAATGTGGATGAAGATGCTTTAGTTTCGTGACGAGGACAACAACCACATTGTGATCACATCATGTAAGAGTCACTGCGGTAAAACGTAAGAAGTCTAATATATTATGGACTGCTGTGCATTGCTATGTTTCGTATGTGATTGTCCAAAGCTTTTCACACTTCACGATAATGTCTCACAAACACACACACACACACACACACACAGTGTGTCGTGTAACTGTCATTGTGCAAATAGTGACCTGGCCTTACTGTGTTTGTTAGGCGTCATCCTGTATGTATGGCAACACTTCTTGTGATCTCAACACAGATTTGAAATAAAATGTTTGCGACAGCGTATTTTGGAGCTCGAGCGAGCGGCCGTGAGAAGAGGCACTTGTTTATTGCTGGTTCTATAAAACCCTCCTCGCAGGTAATAAAGTACACTTAAGGGAGATGGACGACTTCCTCGTTGTTTGTTTATCGGGGGCGAGTCGCCGGGGCTGCTGTTGGATCCGCGTTGTGCCTGAAGCGTTGTTTTAGCTGTTATTGCCGCTCGGCCGTCGGCCCATTCGTCTTGAAAGGAAAATGAAATCCCTTTGATGTACTTTGGGGATTGTTTCCCTCCGTCAGTGGCACAGACATCGCTGGACTGATAAATAGAAACCTGTGGAGTTGTTGGAAGAAACGGGAGTGAGCACATCCGGCCTTCAACGTTGTGGCCCTTCTGGTTGAAATGGACTAAATGTGGTCGTTTGGAGCCTGAGGTCATTTATTTCTTGACGTAGAACCAAAAGAAGATGCTTAGTAACAGAAGTCGTCTTATCTGCCATTCCTCTTTTTCTGAACCCGCCTGTCGCCGCCCCATCTTCAGTGAGCTCCATTACAACAGTCACCTCTGCATCCGTCACGCTCTCCTACGCGGGCAGATAAGGACGCCGGTTTTCCTCCCATCAGCTTCTCTCCCCCGCGGATTTGCCTGGAAGCCCTTGGAAATAACACCCGGCTGGGGAAAAGGAGTAAACCTCCCTCTCACCTCTGCACCAGTGCTCCTGTCGGGGATGAACTTATTGAGCTGGTCTGAGGTCTGAGGGGCTTATGTCACTCACCTGTGTCAATTGTACCAACTATCAGCGTTTTCCTTTCTTATGGTCACAGATGTGCTCCAGACCTTCCGCCTCCTTGCTTCCGTGGGTGAGTATCAGCTCGGCTCTCATTCATGCCCATCCGAGCGAGAACAATCAAATCAGCCTCGTCATCACGGCCTGAGACAAATTCCACGAAGCTTACCGTTGTTTGGGAGCTGACTGGTCCCTCGATGCACATGCCCCCGTCCAGGCATTTCATTTAACACTCTTTTCAACTCGCCTTATTTTCTGTAGACTTCACTTTAAATTCCACTCAATAATTCCTTTGCTCTGTGTGGAAGTATATTTGAGGATGTTCAGTGTGTGATCACAACCAACATGAAGTATTTTAACTACAAAACGGGGTGACGGAAAGATCTCCGCTAAGAACATCTGATTCAAGCACGTTCGATATAAATAAACCCTCCTCGTTTTGAATCGTTGGCCCTCAAGCAAGTGTGTAATCTTTTCCAAGCGACATCGAGGGTGCAATTCCCTGAACCGCTGACTTATTTTCGTTCCATTAATAGTTTGCCGTGAAAGTGAAATCATCAGTTCAGCCTCTGGCAATCGCTGGGCACTAAACTGGGCGCTTGAGTTAATTTCATTTATAAATCCTTTTCATCTTGAGTCTCACCTCCTCTTAAAACTCGCTGCTCTGCAGATTGAATACAAGAATATGTTGACGTTACAAAGTTGAGTCTTATATTCTTCTTGCCTGGTTTCATTGAGTCACACAGTTCTGTGTCTCTGAGTGTTGTCTTTTATAGATGATCATCGCATGAGTTTAAATACAATCAATATACATGTGATCCTAAGAATGGATGTTATTACACTATAAAAGTGTGTATTGTTATATTTGTTTGTGCAATTTTATTGTCAATGTTTACAGTTTATTCTCTAAATTAATCTTTTTATTGAACTATTTATTACTACTTTTAGTTCATCGTTTTTGCAATCTATTCATTAGTTTACTTAATTAATCAGTTGGTTAACTAATTCAACAATTGATCCATTTTTTGTAGCTAACTATGTTCCATTAATGCGCTCCTGATTTCCTCGTCTTGAGGTGTGTCCGTAAATACTCACGAATTTCTCGGTGGCTAACGAGGCTATTTTAGCATTTCAGCCTCCGTATCGAGTCTGTAGCCTTTATTTTTCATTGTGTAGTTTGTCAAAATAATGCAATTAATCTACCATGTGGAAAACGTATTCAAAGTTATAGTATGTTAATGAAATCATAGCAGTGTGTAAAAAAAAAAAAAAAAAACATTAACATGATGTAAATAATGAAAAGGATATTCGGGGGAAAAAGTAGTCATTAGTACTGTATGTTGTAAAGTGTTTGCTGGAACCAGATAACATTTAGCAACGGTCCTGTTTTACTGCAGTGTGGCTGAACACGTCTGCCCTTTGATACGTCTCTTGTGTCCACCTAGTAAAGGACATTGTCCTTGCTTGTGTCCCAGGGAGGGATTCACTGCTCAGAAAAATCCTTCGCTACCTCAGGAAAAGTCCAAACTACAGATTATATGCTACCACGGGTGTTTTCATGGAAACATGCAATGCATTATGGGTCAAGACCAACCCACAGTGTCAAAGTGAAGGCCCTCTGATTGGGATCGAGACAAAGCTGTCCCACATCTTTGAGAGAGGAGCTCACAGTCTGCAGAGACGTGCATCTGCATATTCTCACTCCCTCAACTCCAGGTTTCCTAGACTTTTGTTGTAGAGCGTTACACGTTGCTGTCAATCAGCCCCCTCTTTATTCCAACACCTCGCAGCCTTCCTCCTCCTCTGTTTGCAGAGGAGGAAATCATTTATGCATGAGGCATCTAAAACCAGTAGTTCTGAGTGATTCTGATACACAGGAATGAGGTCACATCATTAGAAACTCCACTAACACTTTCGTTCCCAAATTGTACCACGTCTCTCTCTCTCATATTTCCAGCTACCGTGCGTGAGCCGGCTCAGGTTTTCGGCTGTCACTTCTTTCAAGCATTTGCAGAACACAGCTGTGTGACATTGTGTAGAGCACACATTCAGCAGAAGGTTGAATATTAGACCTTACACGTAATTACACACGTCGTGCACAGATTGATCTATCAGGGTGAATCAGTGTTTTTTTGATAAGCCCTTTGGAGACGGGCTGCAGGCACAGCACATTTACTACCGTGGTGTTTATGACAGATAATTAGTCCTTTAGTTATTACTGAAGCATTACTGACAGTGATTCAAGAGGATCATGAATTGGCTCACTGGTCTGATGAGCTCATTTCACTCATATGTGCAAGAAACGCTGCGACGTCAGCTGAGTGAGTCCCGTTGCTCTCGGCATCTTCAGCATCTTGCCTAAAGAGAATCGTAGCAAATGATGAATCAGAGGCAGAGATGCTGTTCATTTTGAAGGACTAAATCTTACGCAGAGAGAAACTTGCTGACATTATTGGGGTTTCTCACACGTGGGTTGACCCCTTGACCCCCTCCCCTCCTCTCACTGCCTCCCTTTCCTGGCATCCCCCAGCTGAAATCAAAACAAACAATCCTCACAAACAATCACACAACTGCATTGACTGTCTCAGTGGTTATAACTGGCTGGCGTTCCCCTTCAATCAGTGACTTAAAACTCAAAGGAAGCGGTTCCGTGCAGCCAGCACTGATTTGCAGGTGGAAAAAAGCGGGTACTTTGTTATTCCTCTTTAATCCCCATTGGAACATGAGGGCCCACTGAAACAAACAAGTGAGTGCTGGCAGAATTATGCATGAGAACACGTGTTTCTCTGGGAAAAGTGACATGAATATGATTAGCACACTGGCAGGAATGTTGTAAACCGAAGGAAGCTTTTTTTTTTTTTTCAAGCCAATTGATGGGGAGATATTCAAGGACACGTCTGACGGTATTTTACATTGTTATTCTTGTCATCATCACACAAAACCACCGATGAATTGATTTTTTTTTTCTCCTAACTTAAGCGTTCACTCTGAAGCAATGAGGGACATTTGACTTCAATGCTGTAAGCATTAATAGTTGGCAGGGAAACCCTACACTCTTCTCTTCAGATGTATCTGGGATCAGATGATTCTGTCCTCTGAAACATTTGGTAAGTCATCAGTTGAATACTTTAAACTCTCACACTTAGCTGGAGTCCTGTTCTCGGCTTTCTTCAGAGGTTATTGTTGAAAGGACAAAATGTACTCGGCCTTTAGCAAGATGTGTGACTGACAAGCGAGGCGCAGAAATATAAGAGAAATAACCCAGTTCAAAGCACAGAGAGGAAAATAGATCTCAGTTCAGCAGACAAGAGACACCTAAAAAGGTTTAGCGGCGGCATCTTTTTTTTTGCGATTTCCAAATATTACAACAATGATCAGGAAATATCAGTGCTTCCAAACAACACCAATGCGTAATGCGCTGCCCCGTGGTAGATGATCCCAAAGGGGCGAGTGAGCTATTCTGTTTTGATCTCGAGCAGAACTCAAGACACGGCGGGAGGAGAGAATCAATCCAGTCAACCGTGAGAGGCTTCGATTATTCTGGCAGACTGAAGTCCGATCTGCCAGAAGAGACACTTCTATGGAAGTCGCCACCGTTTATCGAATCCAAAAGGCATTTGCGTCACATTTTTCCCCGCTCTGGTCGCTGCTCGGGAGGGAAATTTAGCACCGGCGACGGCTGCGCAGATTTTCAAGGCACTTGACATTTTGATGAAGAGACGTACTTCCAGAAAGCCGCAGTTCAAACACACACCGTGGAGAGGCTCAGTGAGTCAACAGACCTGTCTGGGGCCGATAGCCTCTGTCTCCTGTATGGGATGGGAAGGCGGGGGGGTACAGGATTTAGACAGTGCTCTCTATATTCAGACCCTCCTCCCAGTAAAACACTGGCCGGCCTGTGTGAGTGCTCAGGATCCTCAATGGGAGGATTGTCGAAGCTTGTACGATTCAGCACGGAGAGGCTGAAGTGCCCGTTGTTCTGAATAATACGTGTTCATCTGGTGCAGACAGGGGAAGGCTTAAGCGCACACATGCTGCAGCTAATTGTGTGTGTGTGTGTGTGTGTGTAGTACACTTTTTGGGAGCCTGAGCAGATATAAGGCATCGGGTGTCGTGCAGGATGAAGCATAGAACTACCGAAACATTTACAGAGCTTCTTGTAAGTCACATGTGAATTTACGAGTACACGCGTGTGATCAGTAGATGGTGCACGACCCCCCCCCCCCCCCATACTCCTCCACAAAAAGCCTTTTTTTTTTGCCTTGATGCCACAAGGAGATGCTACATTTAGCCTCGAAGTTAAGACAATTCCACCGGTCATCTTTTCAGTTTTTTT